CACAAGAAAAATCGTTTTACCGAGAAAATCGTTGTGGACAAGATCATTGCACAGTATATAGAGAGTCCACCTGTTCATACACTATATAGTGCGAAGGATGTTCCGCAGTTGGCACTTCAAGCATGCCTATATAGATTTAAAGCGCTGAATTCGGAAATATTTGCGATATATACAACGATACGTAACGCGACGACCAATGAATGTGCGAATGACTCAGATGTACTATAAAATATGATCTTTTTCTCTTCCGGTATTCATCTCGAATCACAGGAAGGAAGTTCTTTCCCACACAACCACGCGAGATGGGGAGAGGCCTTCATCATAGTCTACTCAGTCACGGATTCGGATTCTTTGCATGCCGTTCGGGACATCCTGAGCCGGATCCGGCGCATAAAGGGGCCAAAGTACATACCGATCCTGATCCTCGGGAACAAACGGGATCTCGAGCACGCCAGAAGGGTGAGATCTTCATTTTATTTTTAACCCCACGAAAGAAAAAGAACATATAAATCTGAAATCCATATACAGTACAATATATAGGACCCCAAAATAGGGACGATTCGACTTATTAGGGACAATTGAAACTGAAAAAAAATTTGCCCCGACATTCAGACAATGTCTTTTTGAGACACACAGAGACAATTCCACCATTGTATTTCAAAACATATAGAAAAACTTCCCAAATTTTGATATTTTTAAAACAAATTAAGTTACAGTATTTTTACTCACAAAATTGAAAATAAATTTCTTCTGAAAGCACAGTTGATTTCTGTTTCATGTAGGGATGATTCGACTTTTAGGGAAACTTGAAACTGAAAAATATTCTTGAATTTTGATATCTCGAAGAAATTGAGCTATTTTTACTCACAAAAATTATAAATAAATGTCTTCTGATGCATGCACAGCAGTCATACTCCTTCTTGAAGTTGAGAAAAATTATTTAATTCAATATTTTGGGGCTTCTATTTATCAATTGCTGATGAACAGTAGAACGAATTAATATGTTTTCATTGAAATCTACGGGAAAACGTGATTCGACATGGGGACGAATTCAAAGCACGTCCGCATCTCGGGGCACAACTTACATATCGCGAAATGTTAGATCTGGGATAAAATGAGGAATTTATCAAAAGTTCTACTCAAGAAAATCTTTCAAAAATCCACCTTCCATACAAAAACTAAATAACACACAGTAGCTATCCCATTTTTCAGCAACTACATATATATCTTTACTGTGATGGTCATTCCCCGTTTTTATCATGAAAGACCCTCGCAACGAAAAATTCGCACAACGAAAAAATTTAAAGAGGGTATAACAGCAGTGACTCATACAACAAAATTAAAAATTACGGCAAAAAATTTTTGAATTTGAACAAGTTTTTGAGTAAACTTCAGAATTTTTTTTCAAAAATTATTCTTGCCTTTAGATTTTGTGAAATTTATAGAGAGGTCAGGGCACGAATTCCTTACTAGGATTACTCAAATTTCAAACTTGAAACATATTTAAAATGTAAAATTTTACGCAAAAAAATTTAAAAATCAACAGTTTTAATGGCTGGCTGTGGCTTTTTGATGAGTGTCTCGAATTCAAATTAAATCCCGTACAATACCGTAGTTGAAATCGAATCACGTTTTGCATTGTGGAAACAGGACCATATAGGAACGGATCACAGTAGTTTCGTTATGCGCGTGGACCCATAATGTACCGTATTCTACGATCATTCGAAAAATCCGCCGAGAAGAACACGAAATGCAAGCAAACTTCTAGTGTAAATTATTGTCATGTTCAAATACACGGAAGGGCTGCTTAATTCAGGGCATCGGCGTTCATTATTTTTCTGACACGATTCCTCGGTAGTCTATCAAGTCACAAAGCAACAATAAGGAAAAAGGCAGAAAAACTGTTCACTCAGAAAAAACTTCGAAAAATCTACATCACAACTATGCTGTTGCGATGCTTAATTTTTTTTTTTCAAGTGAAACAAAAATGTTTCTCATGCTGTGCAAAAGCTTTGATCAGGTCTTATAATAAGACCGCACATGAGAACTGTACATGAGAAACATATAAGACCGCACATGAGAACTGTACATGAGAAACATATAAGACCGCACATGAGAACTGTACATGAGAAACATATAAGACCGCACATGAGAAACATAAATTGCAGTACGCTAGTATTCAACGAAAAATCTCAGCCTATACAAAACAAGTTGAAACATGCTATACGCATAATTTCATTTACAATCATTCCAACGCTTACCTTTGTATGACAAAATTCAAGGCCTCGAGTTGTTTCCGATCCTATTTCAACTTATTCCTTCACGGTAAGATTTCCTTTTGAAAATGCTTTTATATTCATCATTAGATTGCATTGCCTGAAATTTCAGAATTTTGATTAAATAAGCATCATAATTTTGATTTTAATTGAATTATATCATCAAGTTGCATGATAATTTTGCATTGTTTCAATTCTCTGCTGTATATTTGTGTCTCTTGAAATTGGACAACATTCCCCATTGGAATCTAGCGTGACACGCATCAAGCTTCAAACATTTAACAAATGTTATACTGATACAGGACACCCACTATTTCCTTCATCATATAAGTTTGAAACAAAAATGGGCACGAGATACTCAAGTAACATGGCGTTTGCTCAGTTCAGAGATCCAAAAACGGAATAAATAGCCTTAGCAGAACACAGTGGTACCGTTCACATAATTTTCCAAGTGGCATCAGCAGCCAAAATTCGAAATATACACAGCATACCTGCTGTATACAGAAAGACTGATCTGGAAATTTAAAATGTTGCTACACCCTCCAAAAATTCTACTGTATAAGGCTATGCTTTAGTACCAAATTAAATTCGAATCTTTTCATTTAAAAGGGGAAATTTTGAAATCTCAAAAAGTATTGCCTATTTGCGCCCAGCAGCACAGCATAAGGACTCTCAACCTCTGCAACATGGGCTTTGGCCAAAAAAAATACTGTATATATTTTAACCCTACCCGCAGCAATGTCAGGATATTTTTGCTAAATTGTGTGCCCAAGAGCCCCTCTGATATAAGGCCCAATAAGTTGAGGAAAGACCAATACAGTAATTATTCTTGGCTGGAAGAAAATTTTTGTTGCAAAAAATCCTTGCAGGGTTGCTTGTTTTCTGCATTCCTGGCATATAGCAGCGAAGATTTCCGAAAATTAAAAAATTCATCATTTCCAGATTTTTCTTGACTCCGACCTCAATTAACTAACCCAGGCATATTTTGGTGACCTTCCATCATACTTAAATGGATTGAAAGGAGACTATACTGTTATTGATGCCCATCAACGGGTTATATATAGTATCGTGTGTTCCGAATGATGACCACATCTGAGTTGGGCAACTCTTTTACAACAGAACATTCATTAGGAGGTTCTCCCTACGCATATAACACGAAAATAACTACACTATGGTAAGGATCCACTCTGACCTGCATGATCCTGATTTGATGTCTCCGTCGCTCATGTATCTGCATATATATACACAGGTTGACGCTTCTACGGGAGAGCTGGTGGCGATGCAGCAAGGCTGTCAATTTGCAGAGGTATCCGCGGCAGAGTCCCCGACGGAAGTGATGAACGCATTCCAAGCCATACTCCGGGAAGCCCGAGCCTGGAAGTTCGAAAAGAACCTTCCGCGCCAACGCAAGCTCTCCATGCTCGCAGTGTCCAAGATGCTCAACAGCTTCATCCGCAAGACCTCTGCACCCGCATTCCCTCCACGCACTCAAATGTTCGTGTGTCCAGACTCGAGAGAAGCCCTCAAGGACTTCGAAGAACTTCTCAAAGAGGTGGAACGGGGCACCCCGCCTCCGAGCTCAAGCATAGCCGAAGCGGGTCATCCGATCAATGGGAAGCAGATTGAGCGGAAAATCAGCGTTTTCGCACCCAGGGATTATCAAATGTTGATCATCGGAGCAGCGGGAAATGCTTCAGCAATCGGCAATCCGTCTTCTGTGTACGGTGCAGCGGAGTCATCTTGGGAAATAGCGTCGCGAATTTGACACTGCGCGCGCGTATCTTCCTCCGCTTACTTCGTTGTGCAGCACCTTCCAGAGTTGAATAAATTTTTGAACAAATTTTTAGTTAATAAAAGCAGTTCGATACGAAAGTTCTCATGGTGTAGCATGAAAAGATCTTCAGCGTAGCCCTAATCAAAGGGTCATCTTACATCATGCGAGTTCCATTGTACTCAACTTTAAATCAGGTTCCTTCAAGCCACGCAATTGCTGAACTGACTTGCTCATCCAGAAAACGAGATATGCTTGAACTGCCATGCCTAAAAAAAGTGGTAAACCGCATATAACGGTCGAGAAACCTTTTTCAATTGCGGTGCACGGTTCGGATTCTTCAAAGATCTCATGCTTTTTGCTCTGAATCACTTGGACTACAGTTCAGCAATGGAAAAAATGTGCTGTAGAGAGCGCCTATACAACCTGTGGAGAGAACCTAATAGGACCACGACAAAATTCTCTTTTACCTGTACTGCACTGAGAACATCGTTCCAGACAAGATCCGGGAGTTCTCATTCGTTAGAACGATATTCTACCGAACAAGACACATGCAACTATCAAATGCACGGTAAGATCATGTCCGGTAGACATTGCTTACGTAATTAGATGCACCCCTTTGAAAGAATACCGTCGTCAACAAGAAAAAGTGCACTACCGATCATGTTAAAATAGGAAGTTTTTAATCGATAAAAGCATGCGTCCATCTTCGTCAGAGACATTGATATACAGTACAGTATAATCGTCTTTCCACAAAAAATTGAACGGGCGCAACCCTAAAATAAGTTCAGTACACAAATACGGTACTGTATATGTCACATCTTTTGCACACGGTATTTCATACGTTCACGCAGCCTGCAAACTATTTTCGTCATTCTTAATGGCATACCACTACCAGAAAACAATTGTGAGAACACTTATTCAGAATCTTCGCACATAGAAATAAAACGCAATGTTGAACGGGCGATTCATCTGCAGACAACACCTTTTATTCACCTCCTGAGTGTTCCATAAATGCGGCAAATAAAGGTAGGACCAATGCTTCTCAAAGAATGGAGCCACTTAAACCCTGGGCTAAAAAGTCATCGATGTTCGGAAGTTCCAGAGCAAAACATCTGCTCCGCCGTTTCCTCGGTAACAAGAAGACAAAAATTTTCTTTTCTTTCCACAAGGAAATCACGAATAAAACCTCATCCCAGTTCACGATCAGCACAAAAATTTTCTTTTTGCTTCGAGCTGTCACAGTTAGGCCAACGAAAAATCCGCCGACATGAACGCAAAACAGTACACACACAACTTATCACCTCGTGTTTTCTTTCGCCAAAGAGAAGAGAAGAATTTCGGGTCGTAATTCTACTCTGCGGTCAACGATAGCGGTTCTTCATGAGTTTCAGTGATTTCACCATCAACGGCGCTGGTTTCGGCTTTTTCGGAGCAGCTGTGAAGATCATATAAAAAATTATACTGTATTGTACTTCGTCAAGAAGATCAATCTCTAAAGATAACACGGCTTTCCTCATCAAACGCATGATATCCGATTCTTCTTAAACGTGAGAGTATCACTCGTCCCGGAAAGTAATAATCAGGGAATTCCAGTTCATTCCTCGTAAAACAAAAGATTTCTCTTTCCTTTGAAACATGCTAACTTTCGACAAACATCGAGAGAATAATGCATTCAAAATTAAAATACTTCGTAAAAAAAGGCAGTTGCACAGACGAGCAAGTTTAAACTAACACAACGAAGCTGGTGATATTTTTTTCCGTTTTTTTTTTTTTTAACTTGACGGTCTCAAAAGGCTTCATCATTATAATTTTTAAGAACAGCAATTCCCACGATTTTCGATCAGGAGAAATCTGGGAAATCGATACTTGTAAGGGACTTCAATTTTTTATCTTCAGAGCTGAGCATTACGTTTTAAACGACGATTAAAATGCCAAAAAGGCTTGGAAAAATTGTACAATTTTCAAGTGAATGGTCGTAATTGTTTTCTGAAGAGTGCGCAGAAATCAGAAACCACTCAGACCTACATTTTCGGGGTAAAAGTAAGCCAAATAAAAATTCGTCAAGTGAAAAATATGTGCAAGAAATGTCTGTTAAGTACTGTACATAATAACGTAATGTTGAACAAACTCGTGGCAACTTCTTCCGAAACTGGGCACAGAGATAAGATGCCCACTCGCTCTTCTGCGCACGCTCACAGAGAAACAACATTTTATCATTCAGTACTTGCTCGTTTTGGGGGAAATCCCAGTTAGAAATTCACCAGGAGCAAGACTGCCGCCTTTCAAAGCCCCCGTGAGAAATTATGATCATTTAGTACTCTCTCTTTCGCAGTGAAATCCCGGTCAGTATCTCACCAGGAGCACGACTACTGCCGCCGCCATTCGAAGCTCTCCCCACAGCGGGCACAGCCACGTTCGTTCCCGAGTTTGGCCCAACGGCGGTACTCAAAATGTTGGCCCGGTTCGCCGCGGATGCCATGTCCACCTTAGAAGACGATGACGACGATGATGACGATGACAAGGTCGAGGAAGAACTCTTCAGCGTGGATAAGGATGACTCGCCGAGCTTCACCTTCCGTTGTGCCGGCTTCGTCGGCACATCGACATAAGCCAGCTTTGTCTTCTTCAACGAGGATTTGTCCGTCTTCACGTTCCGCGATATTGACGCCGTCAACCGCCGCAGTTTGATGTCCCTTTCATCCTTACAACGCTGAAAAACAAACATATATTATGCTCAATTTTAAATTCGGAAAAGCCACTCGCAATTAGAAACTTTACAAATACGACTTGACCGGTTCCAAGTCTGAAATCAAGAAATGTGGAGGGAGCAGTAAGCGGGCTGATGACTGGGCGCCGATTGCTTATACAATGAAATATCACCGAAATGTCACTGATCATCATTTCGTGAATTAAATACGGTACAATACTTTAAATAGCCTTTAATGGATCGAATTTTTTCGAAGTATGTCCAGAAATGACAGGTTGATAACATGGACATTTTCGCAAATATCGTAATAGACTTGATGGTAAAATATGAAGTACAGCGGAATAATTAGTCATCAACGGCTACAAAGCCGTTTCTCTTTCTGCAATTGATTCCAAATGCTGACCCGATTAGTACGAGGTTCTCCTGTACTGAATATTTATCGAAGAAGATCATGATATTTCCACCACATAGAGCAGTTCCCACACGTACGTTTGTGCACAGCGGATTCTTCATGCACACAATTTGGATTCCATCATTAATCGAGTACAATACTAGCACATACTTACGGTATATACTTAACTTTCTGGAATTCCAGGAACCTAAAATTTTTGAATAAATGTAGGTTTTTCCCAGAAAAGGAAAACCGGTCTCGAACGACCCTCGCTCTTCCCATTCAGTCAATGACTCATGCATCTTGAAGGGCTAAACGCTGACCAGTTCTTGATTATTTTACAAATCAATTCCAAAAAACCTGAAGAAAAGAAGTTCCGGATAATTTTGTGTGCAGCAAACAGGAAGATTTCCTGATATAGACGCAAATGACACGAATAGGCTAATAAATAAGAGCCCCCAGTTTTCGATCTTCTTAAATTGGGGAGGGAGGGGTGCTTATATTTGTGTAAATACGGTAATTGCGGAAAAAACCCCAAAGCAGGTTCGGGTTGAGAACTACGGTATTTCAAATCATGGGTTAGGGGGTACTGCTTTCGAAAAGAAAATTCAGTTGGACGAGACAAATTTTCAGCCCGAATATTCGAGGATTTTCCTCTCACCATATACATTTCCCTCCATGACTCGTAGTTCTCCTTCGTCTCGGATTTGAATTCCCGCTTGGCTAAAAGCTCCCACTGTTCATCGGTGTCCTCGATCCAGTGGGGATTAAGGTCCTCCAAGTGAAGAAGCTGGTCGGGATTACACTTGAACAGGATTGGCTTGATAAGCAAGTACGGCATCACGTAAATGGTCGGCAACTTGTGCAGCGAGTTCACATGGTCACCCAACACCTTCAAACACAGCGCTTCCAGCTTCGGCACAACGCCGGAGTTTCCTTTCGCAATGCCACTGTAGACTTTTGTTCTAGACACAAAACAAGGGTAATGTTCGCCTGTTAAAAATAAAATCAAAAGTTTGCGCTGTCATCTTTCACGATTGGTAATTCTACATTTTTGCCAGAAATCAAGCCCCGATGGCTTTTTATTTTTGACGGCATCTTAATTGTCAGGATAAAAATTCAGTCAAGAAGTTGCCTTGACGAAAACATAATTTCAGTTCTATGGCCCCAGCTAGAATCTTGATTTGGTGATTCCCAATGACGTTTTTGAGATCAAGAAGGTTACAGAAGCACGAACAGAATCGACTGACTTTTCCAATTTCGACGATGCTGAACATAACATTCAACAGTTGGACTTCAATAACTTGAACCTCCCAAGTCGAAGAACTCCGTACTGTATTTCGATTTTTCTAGACCCTGTCCAAATTTCCTAATAACAATACATAATAAACCTCCCTAAATCTGAAACTTTCCCCTTAATTCTCCAATAATAAAATTTTTGGAGGCCCTCGTAGTATTTTCAGGGTATTCAGAAAAGAGGAACACCATTAAAATTTGACTTGAAGCTGTTCAAAAAGAAGAAATTAGGCAAATTAACCCCTTTCATCAAGTTCAGCATCGTTGCAACAAATTTATTCTGCAGTTTAAGTCCCAAAAAATCACCAATGTCAATTTCCTCGCAATCATTTCCTTTTACACAGAGTAAAAAATGGCTGCTTCCCAAGCCTCCCCAAGTCCATTCTTTCGCTGATCCCTTGAATTAGACATGGCAAGGTTCAACTGCGGAAGTATTCGCAAGTGAGCCTTACTTTCGCAGGCCAACTTCACACGTTTGAGACCAAAGATGAGTCTTAAACTTCGTGTAAATATGAGTAAAACGTTCCAAGAAGTCATGTATACATGAAAATGGCTGCCCACCTTACCGTCTAAAGGGCTTGCACAACTTTTGCACAAGGCACGTCAGGATTCCGTCACACGGGAATCACGTGCTTAATTACAAGGGGAAAAAATGCACTCACTTCTTGGTTTTGGCGCTCATTGCCCAATTAAGAGCCTCGTGCTCGGACATTTCGGCAAGATGGGAAGCCAGGGGCTTATCGGGACGTTTAATCCCGTTGGTTTGTGACACACTCGGAGTGTCCGGCGGCGGTGGAGCCCGTTGCGGCACATAATTAGGGCTAATTTCGGGCAAAAGTAAATTATCCGGCAATTTGAGCTTCGACGGCTTAGGGTCAGGGATATTGCCGGAAAACAGATCGCAGTCCACTAATTTCTTCTCAACTACAGGCTTCTCATCTTCTAGACGCCGCTTTTTCTTGGACTTCTTCGATTCCTTGTCTTTGTCCTTGGACTTCTTCTTCCGTTTTTTCGGTTTCTCCTCGTGACTCGGGGGATCCACGTCCGGTTCCGGTTCCGATTTCGCCGGAGACGGGATGGGTTCTTCTTCAGGTTTTTCGGGTTCTGGCTCGGGGTCGGGTTCTCGTGGTTCAGGCTGCGGCTCCAGGTCCGGAGCCGACTCGTCAATCTGCATATTCGGTTCTGCATCGTCCTCGTCCTCATCATCGTCTTCTTCCTCCTCCTCTGTAAATTTGAAATTTTCAGCAAATAACATTTTCGTATTCCCGTATTGCACTTTTTACTAACCGTTGGGACGCTGCGGACTAGGTCTAGGTTCGTCCTCATCCACCAACACCAACGCCTTCCACTTATTCACTAAATCCCGAGCTTTATCCCCGATGTGACCACCATACTTGCGCAAGTTGTTCACCGTTTTCCCGACTCCGGTCTCCTGCAGGATCTCCAAAGTCACTGGAAAATTCTTCAGCTTTCGCAAATAGCTCGTCACCTTAGAAATAAACCACGAAATACGCATGTTAGATAAACTGAACTGAGAAAACGCCAGTCACACCCATTTTTCTCCGTATATGAGACACACCTCCATTCTGTTTGCTCAAGAATTAGATTTAATATTGCATGTACATTTATGGCGAATTTTCCTCATTTCCAGAAACAGAAGTCAGACTTTGCTCATGCTTCAACTACCAGCATGAATACGAGACCTTCCAACATGAATTCGGATTCAAGCTCTTGCATCCTCGACCTGAACAGAGCGGTAAGGATTTGTTCGCCAATACTCTTGATCGAATGCTCGAGTTTGTCGGAAAAATTTACGCACGTTACCAACGAGCATACGATGCCAGAGATTTCAAGACGCCATCAAATATAAGATGCACCCAGGTTTTCTTAAACTAGCGTCCCACTTTCAACGAAGTACGTCGCATATGCAAGTGAATAAGGGAATCTTACCTTTTCATTCTCCCGTAGCAAGGAATACTTCTCGAGTTTATGCTTATAAGTTTTAACCGTCTCGATATTTTCCGCATAATCTTCCATCACAGTTTCACGCGTTTCGCGTCAACGCCGGCATGAAGTTCATAAAAGGACTAGATTTTTTTCTTACAGAGTCACGAGTTACAGGGATTTCCGTCACCCTCAAGATTTTTGCCCTCACTCGAAAACCGTATTGGCAGAGAAAGTCAGGAAGTATCGCAACGCGAGCAGGTTGTCAATGAATCGTAGTGGCCCTGAAGCAGCATACACGAGCCACTAAAACTGAACACATAGGGAACAATCATTCAACAACTGCTCGCATCGCTCGTGTTCGGAAATTCAACACTGAAAACGAGAACGGGTATGGATAGAACCGTCGCGTAATGGAACATAAAAACCTTGCGAAGTTCAGATGATCATGACTACAAATTCAGTGCGTCCGTCAGGTCTTGACAAAATTCATCGAGAACTTTCTCTCGCAGAATTAATGGTCACAAAGATCCCACCAAGAAACGCAACTAGCGATCGCAGTAAACTCCGATTTGACTCCCATGATTTCTCAACTATCTGGTCACTTTCTAAACGACATGCATTTCAGGGACACCGCCGTGGCAACCGAGTGGAGTACATATGGCGCCGTTTCTTAAGCTATCCTGAGCTGCTTACTAAACTGGTGGACAAGTGTTTTGCCAGCTTCGACTGCTTTTCCCAAACCTATAGCAAGTTCACAAATTCCAGGGCATAACAAAAGCAACGCAGCTTTTGATCTGACAGATCTCTACAATACCTCATTCTTGGCAAAAGCTTGACTTTCCCAACATTTCCGAAATACATAAAAAGGTTTTTATTGCTTTTACTGGTAAGCTTATATACTGCAATATAATTTTTTCTGACTTAAATCTTTCTAATCTCGCATTAAAATTCCTCTGGTCTGAAAATCGGGCACGGCATGCTGGCAGCACATTCCAATCCCAACGTTTATTGTGGTTCAATGGCAAAAAAAAATGCGAACACTGTGAACTACGTACTGTACAAGCATATAGATAAACATTTTACGCTCAAATCATCAGAAAACAATTACAGAACAGTACGGAATGTTCAAAGCATATTAAATTAATGTGTATCAGTCACTCCACGCATAATCCTCTTCTTGCTTTGATTGTTTTGCAACTGAAATTGTTGAAATTAATTATTCGTATTGTGAGCTTCAAAGTTTTTCACTAATCAATTCCACATTCCAATTTAGAAATATCGCGAGTAAATCCTGTAGAAAAGCTCCACTGTATATGATGCATGCCTGAGCAACAAAGTGGCAACCCGCCAAACCAACAAAAAAACCGGCGAACTATCCGCGCGGACATTTGTTTTTACTGACTTGGTTTCCGCTCCTCTGGGGGATGTGAGTCGACCTCTGAAACGTGTCGGTCTTATTCTCACCTGGATGTGGGGTCGAATATGTACTGTGTTGAGGGTTTTCATGGCCTAATGTGTTCTCGATGCATTTGCGTAAATGAAGTTGTATAGTTCATCTCGTAAACTTGAAAAATGCGTGTGCTACAGGCGTTTACGTTTGAGTAGAATTTTAGCATTTATTCCGATTAAACGGTACTTCGTGATTGAAGAGAAAGAATAGATGCCAGAATTATCGCGTGAACGAGTTATTCAGACGCTGGATTCAGTCTATGTGCCCACAAGTCATCATTCGAACGGAATGCACTGCGCGATGTTCCGAGCTTGAAACGTCTGACGGACGATGTTCAACTTTCACCGGGACGCTGTTCGGATCCAAGTTCAGGTACTACGGAAATGAAATCTCTTGCTGCTGATTAACAACGCTCTTTCGTGTGCAGAAATTTGGTGGTCCAGGGGGGCCTTCTGTTCATTGCCGAAAATTCAGCGTTGATCCGAATCTAACCACTCTCGAGGTACTGCGGAGTATTTTGACGCGTGCTTTCGATATTCGCAGGTAAATACTTTCTCTCGCTTACTCTTGTTGAATATTGATCTCACGAATGAAATTTATTTTGTAGTGACTACGCGTTGAGCTACTTGGCCGTCGACGATGTTGGCGAACAAACTTATTTACCTTTGCTCAGCGACTGGGACTTGGAGGCGGCATTTACGTCGTAAGATCAATTAGACACTGTTTTTGCAGAACTTTATTTACGTTTCAGTGTATCGTGTTCTTGTACTCCCAAGAATTCGCGTGATCTGCCATGGAACCGGGATCTACCCACACGCTTGATTTTATCCTTACCTTTGGGTTGCCCTTGGTAGGGAATAATTCTAATTTTTATTTTATCTGAGGTGATCTTGTAATTCCTGAGGAATTACGAGGAGAAAAATTATCAATTTCTTTTGAAACTTCTTATATTTTCTCTAAGATTGCCTAGTTTTTCAAAGGGCATGAATTTAAGCATATCCTTTCCACATCTGTTTATGCAATTAAAATCTTACCAATTATCATGCATGAAATGCTTTTCCATTAGGTTTAGAGCAGTGTTTCTCAACGCGTGGTCTGCAGACTGGCATAGGTTCATAGGAGTTTTCTGGCGGTTTCTGTAGAAATGTCTGCTTCACAATGAATTTATCAAAAGCAGCAATGGAATCTTCCTCTGAAATTTTGGAAGGACAATGACAGTTGAAATTATGTGATGAAACAACTGAAGTTGGCTTTTCTCTTAGTGCTTCAGACAAATTTCCACCTGCTGAAGTAAATTATTTTGAATTTTCATTATGAAAAACCCTTCTGAAAGCCCACCTTTCTCATTTTTTGGAAGACATTCCATTAAAGCTGATTTATTGGTTCTTGATACTGTATCTGCAAAAAAGCCAGAACTTTTTTGATAACTGCCATGAAGTCTTTCAATCAAAACTTCTTTGATTCTGCAAATAATTTTACAAAACTTTGCAAGTCTGCAGAAAGTTTTTTGGTAATTTGCTGGTCTGCAAAAAATTGTATGGCAATTTGCTGATCCATATGCCAAAGAAGGTTGGGGAACACTGGTTTAGAACATTTCCAAGGTGAAAAGGTTGGTTCCAATTTGAAGTGCATCCAAAACCATGTAATTTGCGTTGAAACACAAGAGTTTTTTAAGGGAGAAACAATATTCCCTGAGAATTCTGCTCATGGGGAATTTTTGAGGAGTTTTTCTGTTGTTGCTTTTATTCCTGCCACGAGTTCATCAGGTGATAGAGTTTAGAGAAAAACGTTGGAAAAACGCCATATGGTTGGGAAATCAGCCAATGCGAATTTACTGTTGAAATTTTTGGTCATGAGCAGTTTTACCAGTTGAGTGTAATACGATTACAAGTTTGATGTTTTGCTCAGTCCATGAGCCAATGTTGTTAATTGTTCAATCCTTCTCTCCTTGAGGGTTTTTATTGCTGGTTACTTCACCTCTTTTCTCTCAAATAACGTCTTTTCGGAACATTCCGTAAGATAAGGCCTCATGTTTTACTCCTTCTCAAATTCAGTTTTGCATCGTGGAAGTGCATGATTTGTGATAATAACGTGCTACAGTTTGGCTAATTAATTTCTCTGATTTTTTGGGAGACGCCCTGGAGCGTCAAACGCCGTCGTATAAACAATGTTATGCGGCTGTAATGACGAATAATTGAAAACGAGAGAATAATTTTGTTGATTCTGGAAAAATACTTGATGTATAAACAATAAGAGGTAGTCATGTGAAATCTCTTCGTGAATTGCATTCACTTTTTATAGGGCATCCGAACCTTGCTTGCACCTCATCCTGAATGCAAGGCCCAATCATGACGACGAGCGACGCAACGAAGCCCTGGCGATCAACTCGGCAGAATGGGACGTGGTCCATTCAGCTGAACTTCCACAGCCCGTAGCTGAAGTAACCACTTTGAAAGGTCAAGATTTCCTGAATGCCAGCATCGGAGTTCCGGCCAGCGAAGACGCCTTCCTCAAACCAAACAAGCTGCATGGCATCATAAAAACTAAAGTTGAGAGAACGTACAATAACATTCTTCAAGGCCTCAACAAAGCCTTCAGCTTCGTAGAACTAGATCCCATGACCGTCGGCGGAATCTCTGTGAAAAACCCCGTGAACGACGCTGAGTTTCATTCCTTCCTCGATGCCGTTGGATGTCTGGTGAAGCCGAAAGAGCTCAGAACCGCAGTTTTTCGCGGCGGAATTGAACCCTCGTTGCGCAAGGTAGTTTGGAAGCATATCTTGAACATTTACCCCCCGGGCATGACTGGTAGAGAGCGAATGGTTTATGTGAAGAACCTATGCGCTCAGTATGAGATGCTCAAGGCCGAGTGGATCACTAGTGCTAGTTTCGCTGCCGCAGCTGCGACTCCGCCATGCATAGAAACCCGAAACTCGTATGAAAGAATCGTCCGCATAGCAAACATGGTCCGGAAGGACGTGTTGAGAACTGATCGAACCCTGGATTTCTTTGCCGGCGACGACGAAAACCCGAATACTACGTCTTTGTTTAATCTCTTGACGACGTATGCGTTGCATCATGCATCCGTGGGGTATTGCCAGGGAATGTCTGACATTGCTGCCCCGTTGCTGTTTGTCATGCGCGACGAAGCCCAAGCTTATGTGTGTTTCTGCGCGCTCATGCGTAGAATGAAGCCAAATTTTCAGTTGGACGGCGTTCAAATGGCGCAGTTGTTTACCCAACTGGCGAAGGCCGTCGGAGTCTACGACCCCAGGTTTTATCAGTATTTGTGTGATCAGCAGGCCGATGATCTGTTGTTCTGTTACCGTTGGCTTCTGCTGGAGCTGAAGCGGGAGTTTTGCTTCGAAGATGCTTTGAGGATGCTGGAGGTTTCCTGGAGCAGCGTGAAGCCCTGTGAAGAACCGTTGGTGTTGCGTGAAGACGCGTTTGATGGTGATGTTAAACCGGCGGAAGTGAAGACTACGGCTTATGCAAGAGTTAGAGCGATGAGGAGACAAAGCACTTTTCAAGGAACTGGTGGTGGTTGTGGTTCTGCACCAACGAGAGCGAGGTTTATTCCACCGCCGCCGCCTCCGTCGCAGAATTTTGATTCGTCTCTCGAGATTTTGGCCACTGGAGAGTTTGAGTGTGTGGGTACTGCGAATGGGCCAGTCAGCGTTTCCTCCACCCCGGAAATTATTTCGTCGTCTGAAGTTCAGATTAGTTATTCCCCTTATGAGATCATTGATACTCCGCCGCCGGAAGAAAGCCAGACTTCAAAAACTTCGGAGTGTGAGTTCTTCATTTTTTTGTTTGATCTTCAATTTTTATCGAGCGCTGGTTAACCAGTACATATACAGTACCAGTTTGGTAGAATCCTTTCCTTCATAATCTTGATCAATTGTAATTTCACATATGTATGGGCTTTTTCATTGTTGCTATTTTCCCCGCAAGTGCATTAGTCTTTTGCTTATAAAACTACCTCCAATATTTAAGGATTAGGTTAGTTGAAATGATCTTTGTTAGTTCCATTATGGTGGTAAGCTTGGGTAAATTATGTGTTGGGCTAGGGTTGATGAACATTGGGTTGGTTGTGTTATAATTATTTTTTGTCATTATTCGGGGGAGGGGATTATTTACAGTATAGTACTGTACTAGTGTAGGTTAGTTATGTACAGCTTTAGGTAAGTTACCGTACTTCGGTATAGTATCAGGCTATGTTCTTAGGCGCTGTTTTGAAATAGGTAGGTCTCTTAGGCAGAGTATTACACAGTACTGTATTTAGTTAAAGTGCCACATGCCCTCAAGTAGGACATGCACCCAGATTTTTCAAAGAAAAATTTGGTTAAAATCGTTTCTCCAAGTATGACAAATACCCCATTTTTATGCATTGAAAACTGCAATATTTTGAAAATGAGACTATGCGCCAGAAATTGAATTCAGACATAAATCAAACCTGCATTAAACTAATTTCGATGGGTTTGATTGAATTTTTGCTATTGAAATTGATCCAAAGTTTGGCTCAAAGCAAGCATGATGCCCACGTACACTTGAAACAATTTGAATAATTCTATCCCTCTCTATATGACACTCTGTTTTACCATCAGTTCGAGAGAGAATGAGGTGGCGTGTGATCCCAGAGTAAATATGGTTGGGATCCGCTTGTTGCTCACATCATTAGGGTATGTTAGTTGAGTACAGTATTGGAACATGTTTGTTCGGTACGGCATAGTAACGGTCGCCAACCATCAGCCATTACGGGATTGGTTGAAATAAATATATTCGAGTAATACAGTACAATATATATGATGTGACGCGCGTACTACTGACGTTCGGCGACCTTTACTGTATCATGGTATGGCTAGGTGCAGTATCAGGGTATGTTACTTATTTACAGTACAGTATCAGGGTATGTTACTTATTTACAGTACAGTATCAGGGTATGTTTCTTATTTACAGTACAGTATCAGGGTATGCTACGTATTGTGTCAGGGTATGTTGGTAAGGTATTGTATCAGGGTATGTTAGCTAGGTACTAGAGTATAGTTGGTCAGTTAATTAGAGTATTTAGGTAGGTTAGTTAAGTATAGAATCAGTCCCGGTTATGGCATACGAAGCGTATCAGTGAACTTACGGATGCATGGATTTTGCAAATTAATAGGTGAATCCTCGCAAACTCTGACGGAAGATACGAGGAGCTGTGAAGAAGACAGGACCCAGATTTGCGGATCGGACAAGGCCGGCCCGAGCAACGAAGACGAGAAGCGCGTCAAGAGCTTCAAAGAGTTCCTGAATCTCACCTCGAAGGAATCTTCTTCGTCTTCACGTGGCTACGAAGGATCTGCCGAGTCGTCGTGGAGCGCCGCAGCCGGCGACTGCAAAGCGGACCTAAAGCAAGAAGAAAACAGCAATCCGTCCTCGTCTTCGGACTCTGGCCTCGACGAAGACGACCGAGCGGCGCTTTTCGGCAACAACTCTTGCGAAGAAGTCACGGAAAGCACCAAGATGATTGCCGCCCCGCCTTTGCTACCCGGCCCGGACGAACTCGGTTGCGGGCATCCGTTTTTGATATTCCTGAGTGTGACACTGCTGATTCAACACCGCGAAGTGGTGATGAAGCGAGGGATGGACTATAATGAGCTTGCCATGTACTTTGACAAAATGGTGCGGAGGCATAATGTAAATCGTGTGTTGAACCAGGCCCGGGGAATGTATTTCTCGTACCTAGCTGCGTTTGAGCCAATGGACACTGTTTTATAAGTTTAGGCATATCATTCCGAATGATGACCCGTCGAAAGTTTTAAGTTGTATGGGTATTTTTCTCATCTTGTGGGACTCCGTTGATTCACGAGGAACTACTGCTGATGTATTTGGGATTCTAAAACAAGAAAAAAGTATATAAGCATTATTGCTCATCAAATGCATTCCAAAATGGAGCTGAACGTTGTAAAGTAGCTGGATTTATTCGACTATAATTTGAAATTTTCTCCATTGTATGTTGGATGTTTAACCGCTCTTTATTTCTTTTGCGTGGGTTTCGCGGGATTTTTTTTCGATTTTCGTCAGGTCTAGGCCACTTTGGATTCAGGGAAATATTTCGTGTTATTCTGAGTTTCCGTTTTCGAGAGAAGGAGGTTTTTCTGATTTCAGCTGAGTAACGTTTCGTCTCATAAGTGTTTGTATTACCTAAACTTCAGTTAGATGAAATATTCTTGGTTTTGCTGGATGGGTCGGACAGGTCAATTAGGGTCAGGCTAAAAAAGCCATGAGTGGGATTAGTCAAGTTTTCCGTAAGATAGATTCAGTAACGTTCGTTTACAATTTTTCAAGGGTTTAATTTCACTACAATTTAGATAGGGATCTAGTAATCTCTGCCTCACATTCCAGACAACGAGGTGGGAAATCAAAGTGAAGACAATACCCTGTTGATATCGAGTATAGACATTCTGCATAAGCAAGTTTTGGTGATCAATTCACGCCTTCGAAAAATATAATTCAGGAATGGTGAATCCTTGAAAAAGTAACTGTGTCAAAGTGACATCACGATTTTGCTGTGAAATCGTCCTGAGAATTAGAGCAAAATGATAAGTTCTTTGCGAAAAACGTTGTCCCACAAGTCAAGCGAAAGAAAGTGTTTTTGGTTGTGGTCGTGGCTTGTTACCTAGTGAACTTTTAGGGTATGCGCTCAAAGGAAGCAACGAATGATGTGATGACGTAGGAGGTGTTGTTGTCTTGCCCTGAGTTATTTTTGCTTTTTTCTGTGATTTTGTTTTGAGTTTGAGATCTCTGTTCTCCGTGGCTCAAACTATTCCATCGTCGTTGAGAGGCTGTGCTGGATTTCCACTGCATTTTTTTTTCTGCGCGAGTTTTCTTATTAGTTGTCGAAGCGGAGGGATAATCATGATATTTTTTTGTGTGATTGACGTCTGAATCTTCTGACGGAGTAAATTTATGGATCAATTGTGTACGTTATTCCAGAAACGTTTTTCTAATTGTTCAGCGTTGTGTAATGTGTTTTTTGTTTTGTTTTTTTTTCCGTTTATGGTTTTTAGCGAATTTTTATTTTAGTATTGTGATGGATGCTGCGACTAGTGGAAAAAGGCGCAGCGCAACAAAGTCATTGAGTCAAACGGATGAGCCCCGTGCATTGCCAAGAGTCACTCGTTCAAGAGCTGCTTCTGGGTGAGATTTTTTAAATTTCTGTGTGTAAATTTGAGTAGATTTGACCTGCTACTCAGAAATATGGATCTGGTGTCCACATTTTTTATTTTGAGAGACTTGTGAGGAGCAAATCTCCTTCGATAACTTTAATTTTAGCTGTTATTTTCCCTATATTCACCGCAACATTTTCTTCATAGTTTGAATTGTATCATTTCTCATGAATGAATTTTTTATTTCCGAATTTTCGAAGAAAGAAATTATGGTACGTTGTCTCCAATATTTGACGAGCAAGACAAAAGCCACCTTTTACACTAATAGTCAGACCTGATACAATTATTTCCAGTGTATGAGTGCTGTCCAATTCAGGCACCACTTGAGTACATGGTGGTCTAGTGCCACATTTCATAGGCAGTGTGTCCTTTTCAGCCACAATGGACAATACTTCGAAGGTTTCAAATAATCTCCTGGTAAATGAAATGTTTCAAATTCAATTCAGTGCTGTTCACTGAATCACAAGCATAGCCTTTTATAATTTCTAGCAACATTTTGAATTTTTAAATTTTTATTTTGAATAGTGTCACCTGTAACATTGAAAATTATAAGGAATGGGCTGAGGGACAGATGAGTCTCTGTGGGCAGGATCTGGCCCACAGGCCATATGTTGAGCAGCGCTGCAGTAAACCGTAGATTAATTTTGGATATCATGGGGCATGCTTAACAGTCAATGTGAAAACGTGGTCTCTTTGATAGCAAGGAATTATTCTATTCATTGAACGAAGGGAAACCAAATATCTTGTCAAGGGGGGGGGAAGGTAATTAAAGATTGGGCATTTGATATTTATACCAAGATGCACAAGAAGTGAGATGCTGATCTTTGAAAAGCAACCTGAGTTTATTTTTAGGGATATCCATTTTTGGGTTCCCCCGCGTAGTTTTGGTTCCCCACTGCACATCTCAAGATTCATTGAACTCGGATCAAAGTAAAATGTCCCAGAAAACATGAAATAGTCCGAAATCAACCCTCAATCAAAATCATTCCTCTTTACTTCTGGAATTGAAATGAATTTGATTGCCAAATTGTTTATTTTCAAAGTAAGGGTAAATCGATTTCTAAAATATATTTTTTACTTTGTGCCTTGTGTTGGTCACATATTTGAATAAGCATTTATTGAGAGAAATATATCTTCAACTTTTGTTCCTTCCATTGCCTCGCAACAAGAGCTACTTCGTGGTGTTCTGTTTTTATGCCCTTCTCAAGAAAAGTCATAAAAAGCTAGAAATGGATTCGAGCAACAAGGTTACCTAGGGCGTATCATTACAATCAGAATAAAACTCTCTCTGTTCTGTCTGTCCAGTACTGCTAGATAATGTGTGGAAAAGAAACGTCAGACTAACGAACTCTCATTTAAAAACAATGACTTCACGGTTTATCATACGTTTTTTTGTCCGTGTCTGTCAGAAAATGTCATGCCTCTAATATTTAATTTGCCCCATAACTGCTCAATTACGAGTACAGTACAAACTTAAAGTTTTCTCAAGTTATCCAAAATTGGGATTACACGCTATATAGAGCTTAATTAGTGCAGTAGTACTCCTATTATTCGTGCTAATGACTGGGTGTCTTTTCCTGGAGAATCAATTACAGTATTACGTATCGTTAAATACAGTAATTTTGAATTTTATTCTGAATCTTTGAAACTTCAACAATCACATGCTGTAACACATTATCCATATTTCCACAAAAAGTCCGAATAATTCACTCTGAAAATTAATCTATTTTTTCTGTCGAAATCATGGGGTATCTGAGCTGCTTTGTTTTATCTTAATTGATCTAAATATGAACACGATTACGTCGATTAAAATGAACCCAAAATTTGAAGTTTTTTTCTGTGATGAATTCTTTTGCATAAATGTTGTATCATTATTGATTCCGCAGGAAAGGGCCGGACCCAGTGTTCGATTCTCCGTACACTTTGCGGATCCGAACCCGTTCCCGAACCCCATCTCTCACCGGTTCTCCGAAATCACTGCAAAAGAAGCAAGTTGTAGTTTCATCGCAAAATTCCTTAGCTGCCATCTCTGAGAATGAGGAGAATAATCGTCAAATTCACTCGGACAAGATCGAGCAGTTTCCTTCGAATTCCGCATCTCCTTCCGCTGCCATTTACGAATTCGAAGATGAAGACGAAGACCCTGGAAAGAATGAATCGGAAAAGGCCTCGGGGGTTGTGATGGACAGTGATTCAAGTCGTCCTTCATCCGCTGTACTTTCCAACGACCAGATGGAACACGAAGTTCGCGAAGTCATTGGAGATGAGGAAATTCCCGAGGATCTCTCGTCCGACGAGGAGAACGGTGTGTTTGTCAAGCATGAAGCAATGGATGATGACCTTGTCATGTATTCTGATGAGGAGGATGTGAGCGACGAGGAAGAGCCTGGTCAATCGGACGAAGACTTCATTGCCCCTGAAACCGATGATGAAGCAGGATCAGGCCATGATGATGATGAATCTGATCATGCTGAAGGCGAAGATTTTCCTGTTGATCCTTTAGATTCCAGCAACGGCTCTCGCACCCAACAAAATTCGAAGATCAGGCTATCGAAGAGTCGAAAGTCGAACGGTATCCATTTTGAAATCTGTGACGAAAGCTCGAATTTCCCTAAGAAATCGGGCAACGGAAGAGATCCTCTAGGATCAAGTGATGATGACGAGATTGAACATCAATCATATGATCGAAGCCCGTCGAAAAAAAGCGCCACTGTCAATGGAATCCCGGAGAAGCCGTCGAAAATCCTGATAGATCATAACGAGAATTTTCAAATTCCGCCTCGGAAAAGTAGCGGCATTCTGGAAGCTACTTTCACGACCGAAACGTTGAAATCTACTCCTGATTCTCCTGGAAAGACACTGAGAGAAAGCGCGTTGAAGTCTCAAGTCGGATCACCGAGGAAGAGTCAAAAATTTGATTGTGATGAGGATGAGATCCCGACGCAAATATTATCTAATCAGAAAACAAACAACGATTCTGATGCCGCCAGCTCTGATGAAGAAGCTTCCGTAGTCAAGGAAAATGTGCCAAATGGCTACGGTTCATCAAAAATTGCAGGAAAGGAGGACGGAAAATCGGGTCGTTGTTTGGACGTCAGCAACGATGACCACGTCGAGAAGCAAATCTCAAATGGTTGTGATTCACCTAAAATTTCCCCAACCAAACTTGGTCATCCTGTTGACGTATTGCCAAAATTGGCGTCGGAAGATTCATTTTCGGAAGAAGAAGATGATGATGTTGATGATATTATTGAAGACGACTCAAATGGAAGATCAAGTATGTTCAGCCTTTTGATGACACTAAGCAGACTATCTTGTCCCGAAACGAGGCTAACAATCCCTCGAAGTAAAATAAGTGCTAATTATTTAACGCGCGGGATTTTTTTGTTCCTTTCCATTCCCGAGGATGCTCTGGTCTGAAATGCTCGCATAATGGACTCACCGCTCAAAACAAAAACAAACACAGTACTGATCAGTGTTGTCAAATACTGTAAAACAGAATGTTTGTCCCTGAAGAAAAACAGCTCTTGAGGCTAACTGTATTTGTTCGTGTCCAAAGAAAATACCTGGATGAGGTGCATGGGGAACAATACAATACAATCAAACCGGCGTTTTGAATAATTCTGGTTCTTGGCTGCTCGAGTCGGGTCTTGAAGAATGAAAATCTTGGCTCTATTATGCTGAAAGGTCGTGGGATGCAAAAAAATCGTGGCTTCTCTTTGGGTTTAAAGAAAAACAAGCCACTGCTGCTGCCAGATAATTGAAAGCCCATTTTGCACATGTGCTACTTTTTATTGTGCTATTTATTGTTTCGATACTGTCGGTACACGCCGACTCTCATGAGAAAGAAATATTCCTGATGGTTTTTTGTTCATGATAGATGACGAGCCGATTCAGCCAGCGGAAGAAGTTTCATCTGCATCGCGATCAACGATTGTTTTTCCGGAGTGTGTGGTGAAAATTGAAGTGCTGTCTGAAAAATCGAAGCGTTGGCAAGGTTGGTTGGATTCACGAAATTTGTGTGATCTTGTCCTTTTTTTGTGTGGAATATTTGATTGAGGTGTGAACTTTTTACGGGCGTTCGTTCAGCGAAAAATGCTAACAGTTCAATTACTTCTGTCACCCTGAGATCGGATTTTGCCATTCCTGTCATCATGTATGACAATACGGCATACGGATGAATTACAAATTTTCCACAAAATTTAAAATCCTTGAAGTTACTTTCACGTGATGGAATCAGAGGAAACCTCTGCCAACATTTTTCGCATTTCCATTCGTAATAAAAATGTATTTCGAAGAGCAAATGTTCATCTATCTCATCATTTTTCCTGCATAGATGCCTGGAAGAAATTTAGGGGAAGTCCTCAAAGCAATCAAAAAGATTCTCACTCTGATGATGAAGTTGGTGAGTACAGTACTTGCAATTTAAGTAATCATGATTAAGTTTTATGATTGGATCTTTCTGTTTACAACAGACGAGGAAATTTCAAACGAGGTGAGAAGTGTGGAAGCAAAGCTCATGGAAGAAAACGAGTGCGTTGAACTTGATGATTCGTCTGCCGAAGGTAATTGCGAAAGATTTTCTCTTGATAATTTTGTACTGTCTTTCTTGATTGGATCTCAACTGTTTTTTACAGAAATGTTTCTCATTTCAGAGACTGACGTTTTTCAATCAAAACAAAATTTGGCTCATGATTCATCTGACGACGACGATGATGATGGTTAGTTGATCATCATACTGTGTGTATCTCATTTTAAGTTGAAAATTATGCAGCACTGTATTTAATTTTTGGCTAATTTTTCTTCGTGAATGGCTGAAAAATTGAAATATTTTGAATTTATTCAAAATTTTTGCTATCAAATATTTTCTGCTCATCATCTGTGTTTTTCTTTTCAGAAATAAAGAACCTGTCTTATCCAAAGATGGGTTCTGCCAGGAAGAGCTTGGGCCCAAAAGAGCGTTATGAAGTTGACAGTGATACCAGCAATTCGCTCGGTAAAATAGTTTGTGGATTTGTATTCTGTCATATGCGTAGATATTTCAGCTATGATGTTCAATTTCAGCTGAAGAAATGGAGAAGCACTCGAGTTTCAATTCTGAGCAAATGCCTGCGAGAAAATCAAATTCTCCGCAAGATCACGAGAAGAGATTGTCTTCTGGTGAGCTGACATTCCTTGCGTTTTTTATTCGGTTCCTATTGAGCAATCAAGTCGAGCCTTGAATGATACATTTATCTCCTACTTCAAAGCTTAACGGCGCTCATTATTTTCTTCGTTGTTTGCATTAAGGTCGCCTGAACCTTTCTGGGCTGAGCTAGGTCATTTGTTATTAGTGTATTCGGTAACTTCAGAGAAGTATGAAATAAATGTAGGTTGCTGTAAGGGGGAACGGATTTAAATTGATCGCTTCAGTGATTCATGCGACACCTGTCCGACAATCCAAAATGCTTGACCTCGCGCAGAAAGTGACGAAACTTCCATCATCTCAAATTTTCAGATGCCCGGAAACGATCTGTTGTGAAAGCAAATAATTCCGCAACGTTGGAAAATCAACCAGCAGCGCGTGACAGTAAGTTGATCTGAACTTGTTCAGCCACCTGCATTATTTTTGAAAATTGTTCCAAGAATAATACGATTTTATTGGATTTTTTTTTTCCATTCGAGATTTGGGAGCAATTAATTCGGAAACTGCCGGAGACTGTGAAGAAATTCAAGAAATGGAAGTCGATTCGATGAAAGGTGAAATTTTTGCAGAAAAATCAATTCTCTTTCCTTTTTAAAATTGCGTATTGGTGAATTGCAGAAGACCTGGCCGAACCAAATGCCTGTGTTGAACTCAACGAGAGCTTGGAGCAGCCTTCATTGAATAATGGAGGTGAGATATTGGCCCATATCGAAGTCCACGCTTCTCGTTGTTTTCCGTATTTTTTTTTGCCAGGTTTATTGAAGACGGAATGATCGGACATGATTTTAATTTGATTCTTTTTTTTTTCTATTCACGCAGGTAAGGGACCATCCGGTGAAGTTCAGTCGTCTGTTGTGATCGTCGAACTCGCAACGGTTGCCCCAGAAGCTGATCAGCATGAAGGTCAACATCCTTGTTTAATTTTTCCAATTGTGCAGGTTTAAATTTTTTGCATATGCACATCATCTTTCAGATTCCAATGCGGAAGAGCCTATTATTGAAGCTCCTGTGGAGTCCGACAAAGGATCTGTGGGTGAGTTGCGTGTGGTGAAGAAACATGGAACAAAATGCTTTCATAGTCTTTGTGTGACAATATCTAGGAAACGTTCCTTTTGAAGTTATTTTCAATCGTGAAATTGCTGCTGAAAAAAGATAAAAAGTAGTATTCCGCAAAAATACGGGCGTTTTGTGTTTCAAGTGTATTTCTCTTTGGCTTCAGACAAAGCGTGATTACTTGATGACCTATCCTGTGTGACGGCCGATGAACACGAAATAATAATTGCGAGAATGATCACAAAATCATTATTGAAAATTGGTATTTGAGTATTGTGCATACACTTATTTTCTTCATTGTATCGAGGCATCAAATTAATTTTGTGATTGTATGTCACGTCGAAATCTGGTGTGTGGTTGCTTCGGAAAATCTCGGGTATTTCAAAGAACGATTTTTGATCTGATGAATTCGATATTTCATATTCCTAGAACGCCCACGAAACTTCTTGTGTTCTATGATAAGTAGTGAGGAGTTTTTATTGTTATTTCTATAGGAATCTCCTTCATCAAGCGCATTTTTTGCCACAGACTTGACTGCTCTTCATGTATTTTTTCTCCTTTTTTTTATTTCAAGATGCAAATATTCCTGAGGGCATCGACGACGACAGCCAATGGACAGAATACGATTCACCTAAAGATGCCGAACCTCCGCGAAGAATGCTCGGCTTGACAAAAACTGAGCGCCGAAAGCTTCTCGAACATGTGATGCGCAATTCGAAGGACTTCCGGAAGAAGACGCCGAGTCCGGACATCGTTCTACCGCCTTCTGTGGAAGTTGGTCATCCGGAAGTGACAAATTCGGGTGGAACTTCCGCGGAAAACTTTGCAGGTTCATCCGACGTCGTCAACGTGGAGTCGGATAATGCGAATACGTCCAAAATGCCGAAAGCCTCGATCATTCAATCTTTTGAAGAACGAAGAGCTCGTCTATGTCGCGAAATCCGGATTACAATGGCTCGCTTGCAATTGTTGTACGATGACGTCTTCGGATTATTTGGCGAGGAAGTTGAAGAAACGCGTCCACAATTCCTTCAGCGATCCAAAACAACTCTACCTAGCTTTGGTGACGACCGTTTTTCCCAGAAAAACTTAAAATCCATGCCCAAGAAGAAACTCAAGCGGCTCCAGAACGACTCCGTCAAAAGAGTGACTTTCGGAAAAGAGAAAAATCGAGTAAAGAAGGCCAAAAAACATCAGTCCTCTTCCGAAGATGTCGAGGAAATACCAATGTCGATTGTAGAGGAGGAACCAGATTCTATCGAGCCTTCGCAATTTTCTCAAAATCCGAAGAAGAAAAGAAAGAACAAATTGAAGCTTGTTGAGGAAAATGTGGAACCTTTGGAAACTGTGGAAGAAATTCCAGTTTCCGATGCAGATTTTAGCGTTAAAAAGAAGAAGAAAAAGAAACAGCCGGAAAAAGCACTGGAAATCGTTCTAGACCCCGAAGATTCGCATCCTCACAAAAGTGATTCCCTTTCCAAGAAAAAAAAGAAGACCAAGTCGGTGTCTTCGGATGTCGCATTGTCTGATGAACCACTTCACGTGGAAGAAGTGGAAGTTTTAGACCTTGTTACACGTCGGAAGAAGAAAAAGAAGAAACCCTTGCAAGTAGCTGAAGCTGAGGCTTTTGTCGAAGAAAATCCAGTGCCTTCAGCTGTTCCGGAAAAGAAGAGGAAAAGACCCGCCTCTGAAGCTGATGTTGAATGCGAAATCGTGTTTCAAAAGAAACCGAAAAAGCTTAAGAATCGTGAAATTCCCGAATCTGAAGGAAAGCAAATGTCTCTCATGGGAAAAATGAAGCTGATTCTGCAGTCCTCAAATGAATTCAAGCCCCTTAAGAAGCAGCGGAAGAAGAACCAAACAGAAACTGCGGATTCGGAAGATGTCATTCAAGAATCTACGGAAAAGCTCAAGAAACGAAAGAAGCGTGTGCCACTGGTGGAAGAAGTTGTCGCTGATGATTTTCCTGCATTTCAGAGCGAACAGGTGAAGAAATTTGCTGAGTTCATTCAATTGTCATGGTAAAAGGAGAATCTGCTTGAGGACATTATGAACATTGTCATTAAATTAGAAATGCTGCCAATGTGGTGGAAAATATTTTGAAAAACGGATAAAATTTGAAGCATTATGGTATTGAACTGCCCACAAAAAATCAAGTTCCTCTCAGAAATGCTGATATTCTTTAATTTGAAAAATATAAGATGTACTGTACTACATTTTTTAAACCGCCCACAAACATCAAATTCCTCTAAGAAATGGTGGTATTCTTTTTTTTTGTGGCAAATTTTGACAAATATTTTGAATATTTCAGGAGCCGCTGCACCCAGCAGCTCTTGATTTTTCGGAATCTCAAGAACTTCTCGAAACCAAGAAGAAGAAGAAGAAGAAAAAAAAGAAAGCCGAACTTCTTGTCGAAGTCGAGTCAACAGAGTATGTTGAAAACGTCGCGGACAACTTGCAATTGAATATAACTGCTGAAGAAGGCATTGATTCTCTTCCCGAAAAGAAGAAGAAGAAGAAGAAAAAGAAACAGCATCTAGAAGATGTTGTCTGCGAAAATGAAGAAAGCGCTTTTTCGTATCAAATTGACACTGGTGATAAATCCGACAGTGATGTATGGTATTCGTCTGGAACGTCGCGCGAGAAGTGTCGAAAGGAGCGTCATTTTCCGCATCAACCCCTGGCGTCGTCGAGCCGTTTTCTGACATCCTCTGAAGAGAGAAGTGCTTCCCCGAAACGCAAAAACTCCGAAGAAATTTCTGCAGATGTCGTCGAGAAGCGTAAGAAACCCAAGAAACAGCCTACTGCGGTGCCTGATATTGACGCTGGTGCAAATGCTCAGAATCAAGAGAAGACTCCAGAGAAGCTCACGAAAAAACGCAAGAAATTCGCTGCTATTCAGTCAGTTGTCTCAGATGATCTTTTGAACAAGAAAAAAAATGCTGCAACCAATTCTGCGAAAGTTGGCGAATTTGTATCTTTGTCGCTGGTAAAAAATCGGGGGGCTGAAGAAAAGGAACCGAAACGCAAAGGACAGCTTTCGCGGGCCGAAAGCGGGAATGAGGCGGTAAGCATTAATTCTTGTTCTAAGTTAGACTTATTCATTTATTTGGTTACTTTCGTTTTTTTAGATCCCTGAGAAAAGACCGAAGAAGCGAAAGTTCTGTCCGGATTTAAGCCAGGAAACAGCCGGCAAAGCCAAATTGCGTAAGAAGTCGAAGACTCCGATTCAGGAGGACAAGGATGAGGAGCCCCTGTGGGACCCTGTGGCATCGCCAAGTTTAATGCCGTCAATTGCTGCCCAAAAATTGAAGAAGAAGAAGAAGAAGAAATTCTAGTTGCCTGCTGTTGATGAATCGGCATGAATCGCTGTGCTAATTTGAATTCTCTGTGAAAAATCTGTGGTTCCCCCTTTTTTTAATCTATAAGCAACCAATCGCTGGCTGTCAATTTCGTGTCATCAGTTTTCGGGCTCTGCTTCTCTTCCATCGTGTCATGACAATCGCTGGAGATGGTGGGGATTAAAGCAGAAGCTATGGCGAGACGAGAAAAGCGAATGGTGTTGACTTCATTGATGATTTCCTCAGGAGACATTTTTTCAGTTCTTTTCAAAATTAACGCTTTTCACTCCCAATTAATGCGTTCGAAATTTTGGCGATGGAGTCGTTGAAGGTTGCTGTCGTGTGGTTGCTATTTGGTTTGCTGTTTATTTCTGGAAGCGGTGAGTATTTTTTCAAGAGTAAATTCTGTGCATCTGGATTCAGCTGTGCATTCCAACGACTCCTGAATAAGTTTCAGGTTTCTTTGATGAATTGTTTTGGTCCCTTTTTTATAAACTTCATTTCAGTTTTAATGCCTGATCATTCTTCCAATTTACGCACAATTTGATTGAAGATATTGAAATCGACATAAATAAGAATTAATGTGAACCAAACTTTTTTTTTGCCTTTTGCTCCTGTATGTTATGGATTTGCAGGCAGTCTTGGGAGCGCATAGACTTATTCTCCATTGAACATTGTTTACAGCAATTTCATTTTAGTTCTGTGTCAAACATCCACAAAGTTGGTTGAATTTCTTGTACAATTGTTTTACCATAGCTTTCTTCCTGGTCCCCATGACTATGTTGTGACAGAATTTTATTTTATTTAAAAATCTCAGTTGACATTGTACTGTAGGATGTGAATTGTGACCTGAAATTACAATTGGCCAGGAAGACTTTGCCCCTATCAAGCTTCATTTGAAGAAGATTATTGTGGTTAAGATTATTGTGGTCAAGAGCTTGTGTTATAGATAAGATTCTGAATTTGCATTGCCACTTTGCCAGCAGAGAACACATTGGAGATACTCAGGAGAAAATATTGTATCCCATTTTTTTTTAGAAAACAATCTTTCCAACTTACGTTCACTTGAATGCCAAATGTCGTATATTATTTTCCGTAGGTGTCGCCTGCTGCTTGAGCTTTTCAATTGACAGGCAACATTCTGATTCCTCTCGTGTATTCTGGGTTATTCTGTTTTGTGCAAGAGATGGAATTTGTAAAATTGTTCTGAATCAATGGTTATGGATGAAGAAATAATTCGATTTTTGATATTACTGTATTGAAACAGGTTCAGCAATATTTTTTACTGTACGAATTTCTTCCTCTTGCGCTTTTGTTTTAATTTATGGTTTAGGTTGATCCTTTTCATTCAACAGCATAGTTTATGAGATGAATAAATTTGCGAAGCTGTTGTCAATCATATACTGTAGATGCCCTGCTTTGCTTCATGTGTGGAACGCAGGAGTACCCAGAATGTCAACCCAATCCCGGACCCGTGATCGGGTGTCCGGCCGGAACCAGATGCTGGACTCTTTACGATGACATACTCAAAGGTAATTCTTGGCAAAATCTAGTTCTTTGACTCGACTTTTAATAGTCGGTTCTTTTTTTATTTAATTATTTTCACCATTCTTTCCAAATTATACAGAGCGGGTGAAAGCGAGAGGTTGCAGTTACGCGTCTGAGAAAACCAACGGATGCGCTCGAGGACCCGGAGAATCCTGGCGATGTTTCTGCGCTGAAAAACACTTGTGCAACAAGTGATACGTGTTTTTTTTTTTTTGCCAGATTAATTCTTTTTTCTTTACACAGTTTTATCTCTGAGGAATATTCGATAAATCACTTTTGCGTTAGATTCCGAACTGTTCTTCGCTAATCGAACCGGGAGAAGCCGCGTCGTACTTTTGGAACCAGTTTTTTGTTTTATTTTTTACTTACCGTATCTCTTTTTTTAACCAGCAGAAACCCGCATTTTCTGGTTGGCCGTTATATAGTGAAGAGTTCGTGTGTGAAACGTTCGTTGATCTGGTGCATTCTTTGTTGAAATCTCGTTGCCTGGGTCTGGATGAATAAGAAATTCACATGAATATTTTACGTCATGGCCAATTACTGTATTCAATTTTTGCGTGCGCAGGTTGAATAGATGAAAATACGCAAAAAAGTGGGCATTGTCGTTGTGATGAATTCGGATTTTTCTGCTACATTTTTGAATGCTTGATATGAATCTCAGTTGTCACTAAATATTTTGGCGCATTGAAAAAAACCATCTAGGTGCGGAATGTTTTGGATCAGGTTGCGATATTTCAAGCTCAATTTGTGTCTTCTTTTTATCTATCATCAATAATGTTGCATCTCGTTCAACGAACGTAATTCATTGAAGTTTGGATTACGGATTTGAAACATTTCGTCTTTAAATGGTTATCCTCAAAATCGAGATGAAAATCGATTTTCCGAAACTTCGGGATTCTTCCAACTGTTTATCGATACTCCGGATTTTGTTCATGGTACGAGGGTGAAAAATCACAGTGCAAACGTTCGTTGTACAAGATAGAATTGTGAATGTTTTATATAAATGGTGTTGAGAAATAAGATTTGCTCAATTGAGGGGCTGCATTGAAATAAAAACCTTCAGGATAGAAGGAAGGTCATGCTTGGATGTTATTCTTGAAAAAATTTGACTCCGAGAAAGTTTTATAGCAGAAAACTTCATTTCTAACGAATGTGCAATAATGAAAAGAAGAAACAAATTTTGTAATCCTTCCAATGTTCAAATGAGGACCTTTTTTCTGCCCGGAGAAAATGGTGACAAATATTTCCGACATTCCGAAGTGTGTTTAATTCGGAGAAACCGTGTTCTGATGAGAACAACTTTTTTTTTCCTTTCCTATCCCGTCCTTATCCTTCAAACCAGAATAATACTGTAAGAGGATGGTTTTCTGTTTCGCTTCTTTTCTTAGAACATGCCAGGCTCGTTGTTCCCACTCTTCTCGAAAAACATGAAGTCCTGTATGATGAGAACAAATAGGCAGCGCACACAAAACGGAATGAAACCATTTGTTTAACAATCGTTTATGTAAAATTCACAACTCACTATAAGGAACAAAGCAGCAAGAAGAACAGCTTTCATGCCAACTTCCAGATCATGGGGAAAAACTATTCCGAAGTTGTCGGCGTCAGTGAATGCTTCTGCGGCGAGTCCAGACCATTGTTTGCTAATTTTGCCAATTTCCTCTCCATTCCTTGCCGAGAATATCTGTGAAAAATTATCACATTGTGCTGTATTTATCTCGAAAATAAAATGCACACTTTTTTTCGGGCTTTGAGATAGGCAACAAGAATTTGGAGTTGGCTCTTTAACTATTTGTTTGCATTTCAAATTATGTGGCTTGATTTTTTCCTGATCAACAGAATTTCATGAGCAAAAATGGTCTGGATTTTAAAACCTCGCAAAAGATATTCAGTTGAAGTATCAGCCTGAATTTTCAAGTGGAAAAAAATATTTTTGACAGTGTTGATTGATTTGATGATTTTTGAGATTATTATTTGATTTTTTCAAAAATGAAGCATATGTTTTATAGAGTATTTTTTTCAAGAATTCATGAAGGACATTTCCTAGGAATCTGGAACAGATCAGATATTTAATTGCTGTTCAGTACCTTTACATTTTGTGCACAATACTTGTTCAGCAGGGGATTTTTGTGGGCTTGGAACCAAATCAGTGATTTTAAATAATTTATATTGCACTGATGACTTGTTGAATAATACACGTCTCTCAAAAATGGATCGCTTTGTCCATTAACCCAGGTACTACTGTACAGTTTATATAGGTAAATTGTGTCTTTTTATTTGAGTGAAGCGGAAATTATATTTTTATGTTTGGTCACGCGGAGATGATGATTGAAAGAATGGATGATTGGTTTGTTTCCTTCCATTTTAAGCAAGAATTTAAAATTATATTTTTAAAAATGACGAACGTTTTTTAAAATTATTTTTCTAGTGCCCCATCATGGGATCTTTTTTCTCTATGGTATTTTTTTTCGGTACAAAATCATATTGTATACTCACGGAAAATTCCACTTCGCCGCAGAGTGAGAAAGTGCAAAACGGGCCGGTGATTTTGAAAACTGTGTTTCCTTGTGCGTCATTGATGGAAAAATCCGGCCTGAACAAGGTCCAATTCTGGACGATGGATCCGAGGTGAGTTTCAGGTGTTGAAAATACTTCCATTTCCTATACAATTATTTGCAACAAAATCCATGAGGATTTTCTTTTGTTCTCTCGAGTATGTTTTGAATGTGAAATAAAAGGTGGAGAAAACCGCGTGAGCGGATTAATCCTTCATATATTTACCGGGAATTCGAGGGCTCTTACGAAATATACTACGTTTATATGTACAGGGAAGAAAAGGGGTGTGAAATCAAATTTGAAAAGGGCTTCATGCAGTCATCGGAAAATAATTTTAGAGCACCTGTACTATTTGGGCACTTCAAGGCTCCAATTAAAATGGAAATTAAAGAATATTTGAAAATTTTTTTTGCGCTGTATGTGTAGTGATCATGGTGGGATTTTGTGAATAGTTTTTTCAGCTTCATGAGTACAGTACTGTATATATCTTCTGTGCGGGTGTAGGACAATTCCCCCGATTCTAATTCCCCCACCTCTATATTTCCCCCAAATAATAATCCCCGATTTTAAAATCCCCGGTCACAAAAATCCCCGAAATTAAAATGCCCGATTTTTAAAATCCCCGAGTGTTATTTTCCCTGATTTTAAATTCCCTGCTTTTTGTTGAAATCCCCCATAATAAAAATCCCTGAAGTACAATTTCCCCCGAAAATAAAAAACTGATGGTTGGACAATTGTTTTTCTTATTTCTGAGTGACAAAAATTGAATTTAACAAGTATAATTGAATAACAATTGAAATAACGTAAAAATGAAAAAAACGTAAAATTTGAAAAAAGAAACAAAAAAGTAAAAATTGAAAAAAACAAAAAATGTAAAAAAAGCCGCATCAGCAATAAAAAAATTATTAATTGTATCTCAGTTTCACTGCTTTAGCTGTTTCCTTCAAAAATTTTTCCAGACTAATTTTGTGCCTGTTGAACAATTGACACAGATTCTTCAGGTTGGCATCCCTCTTCTTCTGCTCACCTCAGGGTAGAAAAAGGGATTTGAGGATGAAGTTGGGGAAAAATCCAATTTTTTTTTCTTTTTGCACAGAAAAATTTTGTGGGAAAATGAAAGAAATCCTATGCTAAGCAATGGGCTTTTTCTTGGATTAATCCCAACTTTGCCTCAGCCCACCTGGAAGGTCTTTTCTGACCTTCAGAAAACTTAAAACACCACAACATACAAAAATAATCCGATTTCGGCCGAATTTTTTTCTATTTTTGTGATATTTTGTATATTTGGGGATTTTGCATTTTTGGGGATTTTAGTAAATGGGGATTTTTATTTCGGGGCAATTAGACACCAGGGGGAATAAACGTCGGGGATTTTAAAAATCGGGGATTTTAGGATAATTTTTATTTCGGGGCAATAAGACACCGGGGGGAATAAACGTCGGGGATTTTAAAAATCGGGGATTTTAGGATTGGGGATTTTAGAGCGGGGGAAATAGAGGCGGGGGAATTAGAATCGGGGGAATTGTCCGTTTCCCATGTAGTACGTTTCCCATCAGCAGAATAGTTTTCATCAACTATTTGGATAACAAATTAAAAAGTTGCTGATGCTTGACAGAGGCTTCTTCCGCAAATCTCATCATGATACCATTCCAACCAATAACATGCTCTTGTAGAGTAAAAGATGACAATGTAACCAGACTGAGCATGCAGAAATTATTCTCATTAGGAATGAGAGAAATATACACGTCGGAACTTCTGCATCATTCAAATTGAAATTACTCACTGCTCACGATAACCCTCATTTTGGTCTGAATTTCTCCCGACATTGAAGAGTTATCGACACGCCTCCGGACATTATTCCGGAAATATCGCGATGAACATTTTTCTGAATTTACTCGCCCCCATACAATGCGAGAAATAAATTTCAGGTTGTCAGTTCATACTACAGTACTCTTCTCAAAATGCACAAAATGCGAGGGATATTTTATTCATTGATTTCAGTGCACGCGTGATACTCATCGACAGGTTCGACCAGTCAAATATGCGAACTGAAATTCGATGGTTTATTCGGTTCCAGAAAAGGCATGAAATCGAGCGAAATTCAATTCAAGCATATCCTTGATATTATGCGAACGAAGCAGAATAAGAACGAATGAAGGTGAAATTCTTACACCAATCAAACAAGTTGGGCCGTTATAATTGAAACAAGGAATTATCCAGTTTATGGGAGTGCAAAGTACTTTATACTAAAAGAAGTTTGATGAGTTTATCTTTTTTGTTTTCTTCAAAAGTCATATAATTTCAGAATCTGCACTTTTCGAACATGCACCACAGCTTTTATCATTTTTCCTTTGATCAGAACCGGAAAATTTCAGTTAATGAGCAGAGCAAACAAAATGGTGATTAAACTGAACGCGTAATTTTAATTTTAGCCATTTGATTTCCCAACTACAGCAGGTACCTGCCTGAATATTATGAATAATTTCACGTGAATTCAAGATAAGCGTGAATTAGCCTCCGGAATCTGATGAAATATCAAAGCCTTTCTTTTCAAACCGTGAAAATGAAATGATTACGCATCACAGAATTTTTTGACGTGCGTGATGAAATCTGCGTAATGAACCTGTTCAAAAATTCGAAAATTCACTCATATCATATCTGATCATTGCAGGAATATTTCTTTGTTCAAAAATGGTAATTTTTTCGTTATCCGTGATTTTCGATCATCATAATATCCAAAAAAAAGAAAGATGGCCACGATAGCGCCGACTGAAGAGATTTTTGACGCATGATGTTTCGAATTACAATTATCCTATGTCAGATAATTTTAGTTTTGAAAAAAATGAGCAACGCTTAGGGCCAAAAATAAGCAGGCGAAAGGGATTGAATCCTGTTCATAGAAATACCCGAACCAGGGTAAGTGAGCGGTGAAAAGGGACGAATAATTGGTGTCACCTGCAGGGCCATACGATTCTTGACCGAGGATGAGCTTACCCAAAAAATATTCTTTTTTGTTTCTGCCCTTTCATCTCACATTGGTGTCCCTCATTATAGCTTCGCAATTACATCACACTTAATACAAAGAAGACGCTTTTCCTCAAATTGTCTCTTCTTATTCTTCCTGGAATCATGTCTTGGTAGTTTCCCGGCTGTTGAAGAACTGCAAGGATTCCCTGCATGCTAAGTGCGTTTCCGAAGCGAAATTGGCAATATATTGTAATCATGTATTCTCGGTTGTAAGGCCGCATTTCCCCTGGGTGCGGCCTATACTTGATAGATTCGAAACCACGCCATCCGACAAAAAAAAATTTGATACTTCAGGAAAACTTAGGAAACGCGATCGAGTCATTGTGAAGGTTTTCCCGGTAAAATATAAATTTCCAGATTTTCCTCCATTTTTAGGGTTCCATGCATTAAAAAAAACCCAATTCGATCTTCTTGCCATCCAATTGCATGCGATACTTCGTGGACCGAATTGAATTTCCGTTTCATGCCTGAAAAAGATTTATTTATGTCTTCAGGGCAGACTTTTGCATATACAGTATTTTCTGCCATAATAATCAGGGCGCAGCGGAAATACGGAAATTCTAATAACGCAAGTTCAGGTGATCAAAAGTTATTCAATGCTTGTAAACGACATTAATTCCTGATAGATTTGTGAAAAAGGATTGATTATTCTTTCAAAATTTTTCCATTTTTCTATGTACGAATGTTTTTCCTTCATCAAAATGACGCCAAAATAATTAGGTTGCAGCGAATATGTGGGAATTTTCAAATCACAAGCTCAAGTGATCGACATTCATTCAATACTCTTCAAATCGGGCTTTATGTGTGAAAAAGGATTGATTCTCCTATCGAAACTTATCCGTTTTTCTATGGTATTCTATCAAAATTTAGCTATTTTTAAAATTCTCATCACACAATACTAAGTCGAAGTGATCAACATGTTTTTGACGAGGAATTCCCGCTATATGTTCGAATAAGAATCATGTGGGAAATTTCCAACACCATTCGTTTCTGTAATATCTTTCAAGCCGGGACTGCTTCAATGGTGATTGCAGTAATTATGATATAACATCTCTGCCACAAACAAACTCAGCACTTGAGCAAACAAAACGTTCACTGCGTCATTCGGCGTCATGTCGAATAATATCCGGAGGCTTCCAGTGAGTGTACGGAATTACCTCATGAAGCACGGCGTACTCGGGTTAATTGACGGGATCGTATTTAGTCACGAGGCGTCAGACGAGGTCACGTGTGCGCATAGGCTAGGCGCCGGGTTCTTCATAGACGACCCGATCATATTCCTTCCTGGGTTCTCTTCGTCAATGGCGTTCCCCCGAAGAGACAGGCGGGGAGCATATAAGAAAGAAAGGCGAGACTCATTTGCTGCACGGGTAAGCTGTAAATGAGTTCGTCGCTGCCGATAGAATTGCAGAGAGTTCTCGGAGTCTCGTATGTGTGTGTGTGTTCATCTAGCTCGCCAATTCATATTGATCCTTGGTCTTCACTGCCAAAATAATTGCGCGATTGAGGAGAGTTAATTCGACACGCAGCCCCCGAAAACAAAGCAGAGGGGGATCAAGAGGTATAAGGTGAGACCCGCAAATGTGGACACCCCCAAAATACGGACAAGTTGGCTTTAGGACACATACTTGGAACTGAAAAAATTTTCCACTGACATCCAGACAGTGAGTCATGATACAGACACTTCTCAAAATTTTCTGGAAGAATTTTGGTACTTGGTCAGCCACCGGTCATGCAAACCATGGTTGCACACCCTGTCAGAAATATATTCTAGACAAGAAAGGAAATCAGAGTTCCTTTTGATTGAAGTTTGAACTGATAAAGACTCTGATGAAGAAATCAGACTTGGATACAAACAAAGAGAATAGAGAATAAAACTGCTCAATCAGCCGGGCTGCGGCCTGGACTAAGAAGTCCTAGTATAAAGTGTTGTATTTTTCCTTTTGGCAAACAAGAGGAAATCTCACAAATTCAAAGAGATGCTGGATGAAATAGACTTCAGTTGAACTCAGAATATGACAAGAAAACCAGACTTTCTCAAGGTCTGAACTCTTTGACAATCAAGACTCGAATGCTTTTTCTGCTGTTCGTTGGCAAACAGGAAGATTATTTCAATGGAGAGAATAATGCAGACAGAAATGTCCTTGGTGCTCAAGGAGTAGAATTTTTAGAAGGACAGAAAAAATGTTGGGAGGAAAATTGTGGGAACTTTAGGTCAACTCTGGTCCCAAGAGATTCCTTGAGGATTAGTGTCATTCTGCTAAACTCTGTAAATCTGCTGCTTCTAAACACCCCTTACTTTTATTTTTGACACACCCATTACCAGTTGGGCAAATTCCAGGTGCTCCAACTTCTAATAAAAGTTTTCACAAAAAGAAAAAAAGCTTATCAAACCAAACCTAACCTAAGCTAAACTGATCTAACCTAACATAAATGAAATTTTGTCCAAACAAAAAATTGTTGGCCTTTTATGATTTTTCATCAAAGATTCTCTCTAAATTGTTTGGTTTGGATGTGGGAATGTTGATTGAACCTTGTGAATGCTGAAAAGCAGAAAATAAAGCTTTATGTTCATTAATTCAAGAATGTGTGGTAAGTTCACCAAAGCCAGGACAGTCACTTGACCAGGATTCTAGAACCAAGATTTTCCAATATAACAGGAGATTTTCATTGGCCTCTGGGTGCCCCAAAAATTGGGTGACCAGACTGTTGTTTGGTATGCTGGGGATTGGGGAGGCCAAGGACTGTCCTGGCAGGAGGTGGGAGTGACTGGCATTTGCTGACTAGTGGGTGTTTAACCATGGTTTGCATGACCAGGACATGCCCAGACATGAAGAACTTTCAACTTTCATTTTCTAATATAATGTTTTCATTTCTTGAAAAAAATTGTGTTATTCACATTTACAAATGCTAAAAATAATTTTCATTTAAAAATAATCCTAATTAATAATCAAAAACAGGCTGATTTTATGATTTTTCCTCCATTTTTTAAATCATCTGTGCTGAGTATAGGAAGAATTGATCTTGTTTTTTGCTTCTTCAGCTCCTTTTGATGCCAAAATGATCAGATTCTGTGGAGTTATTTTTTCTGTAAATTTATTTTCTGTACCTCAAAGTTTAGAAAACATCGTTTTCTCAATATTTTGGAAATTTTATGTGAACTATTATTCATCAGGAGAACCAATACAAAAATACTGTACTCCCATTCAAGTTGTTGGGGAAAATGAGCTCCACATGTTGAAGGATGTCCTGACTTGGGACAAGGTTCATGCACCAATCAGGTCCGCATGTCCGGGTCCCACTTACTCGAAATAAAAAAAAAGCCTGGTGGAAAAATAATATGATGCGCCTTTGGCCATGAAATCGGAAAAACTGAGGTTCTATGCGGATAATCAAGAGACGAACTCGCGGAATTTTTAGCCGCAAACTTATAATTAAGGGAAGTCACATTGTGAAGTCTGTTTCTGTATCTTCAGCTTTATGTGATAATTTATTCACAACTGCGAAAGGAACGTAGGTTTCAGACACCTCTCGAAGTGCATCAACAAGACGTGATCTTGAATTTGAATGCAAAAATAACTTTTGAAACCAAAAACTGGCTTTCAAACTTCTGCTGCCTTCAAGCTTAACATGTCTTATAGATTCATTGGGGACTACATTACAGCTTTTAATAAAACTCGTAAATATAATTTTAAATTACTGGAAACGAAAATTCAAAGCCTATTCTTAACAGAAGTTTTTGACTATCCCGAATTGGTATTTTTCCAGGCAAAAAGTAGAGGCGCGGTTTGAGATCGAATGAATTGGCCTCGTGAAATTACATACAAGAAGAAAACGTACGTCTTTTATTCACAAAGAAGAACTCATATTTTCGACGTAATTATTTCATACGATGGCGAAAAAGCCAACTGTACATGGATATCGATGTAACTTATTTTTAATGGATGGAGCCTAAAATTAAATTTTAATTCAGCACGCGTAAAATCTGCAATCTTTTCCATAGATTAGGAATTTAAGTAATCAATGTACGGTATTCGGTTTCACCTAGATACAGAAATGCAGAAGTTTTGAGCTTTTCCCGGAAACATTGGAATTTCGAAAATAAAGGGGAAAATTCCCGAAGTTCACCTCGTACTCATACATTATACAGTACTCTATTGAAGACTCAAATTTTTTGCGAAAAATCATTTTTAAAAAATCGAAAACTACGAAAATTCTTCCGATTCGCTCCAGCTCTTCATATATCGCTATAGGAAGACTGCTGGATGGCATGAAAATAATTTGAAAACTTTCTGAGCGAGTGCATTATTCAAGTTTTCATTCGTGTAATCAGTGTCAACGGTGTATTCATGCGTTCTCCAAAAAAAAGCAAAACCGCCATTTTGGTTTTTTCGCTAGACAAGTTCTGATAATTACTGTTCTTTAATCTGCATGTTTCATTTTTAAACGACAGGAAAAAAAAAATGCTCTCGAACTCGTCATAAAGTGACATGCTTGACTCGCCCTCGATATTTCCTCTTTTACTCCCAGTCCCCGCATAACCACCTATAATGACTCTAAATTTACAACCCAATTATTGCCAAAGTACCTAGTATCACGCGATGAAAAAAAGGGGGGTGCCTGGCAGACTTTAAAGCGCAAAATTGCCGCGATTTACGCTGTTATAACCCGTCTCAGAAGTTCGATATCCGAGAGAAACGACAAGATGGTTCCGCTCTCTGAACAACGTCATATAATCTTTGATACCATGAGCTCAAAGGCTCTCAGCAAGCGTTTAATGTCACGCGAAACACCGCCTCGAGCAAAGAAAACATCATTATTTCCACACATGAGAAGGATGAACGCAACCCAGCTTCTCGAACCCGATTTTCCGCCGGGTTGAACGACAACGGCAACAGAACCCTCATCGTTTCGCAGGGAAATCGCAAGATCATGCAAATATTTTTAGTTTACAGGCCATGTAAATCTTCAGCGCATTACTTGAGAGAAGAGCCGATTTCCTCGGTCAGATGCAGATCACAA